AAAAATAACTTTTAATTACAACACAGAGGCAGTGTCATCTGGGCCGTAAATCCTGTCTTCCTTGCAGTTTCCAACAGCTTCTGTAATTAGACAAGAAAACCTCCCACTGTGTTGAGCTGCTTATTAATAAATGGAACCCAGGCTGTACAGCCTCCACTCCTCCACCCCTGTTCCCAGTAGGAAGTGCTGTTGCGAAGGTCCTCTCTGCTTTCCTGGCAGTTCTGTAGGTTCCTGTTTCAGAGGGGTGTGTGTGTGTGTGTTGGGGTGGAGGCGGGGTGGGGCCGGTGTTCCGTCTCTGGCATCGCTGCCTCCCACTGCCTCTGTCCTGGAGGGCCCGTGTCCATGTGTCTGCCGTCATTCTCTTTCCTGATAAGGGCTCTCGTTGCCTCTGTCTTGTTTGTATGCCAGGCTCACAGGGAGATTTCCTGCCTGAGTTCCAAGTCCCAGGGTGCACAACTGTGGAATGAAATGTGATGGAGGCAGTGACTTCTCTTTTCAAATGGAGTCCCTGACCTGTGCATGGAGCTAGTACACTTGGTTAACAAATATCTCTGAGCACATTCTCTAAGTCAGGGGTCCCCAACCTCCAGGATCTAATGCCTGATGATCTGAGATGGAGCTGATACAATAGTAATAGAAATAAAGTGCATATAAATGTAATGCACTTGAGTCACCCCAAAACCACCCGCTTCCCTGTCCATGGAGAAATTGTCTTACATTGACTTGATCCCTGGTGCCAAAAAGATTGGGGACCTCTGCACAAAGTCATTGGATTTGAAAAGGACTTCTTTAAAAGTGCCACTGGTACTGTGCTTTTACTAATATTTATAGAACCAGAGTATTTGGTTTTTTATCTCTCCTTTTTGGGAAAAGGGAGCTAATTTAAAGTTCTGCCTTTGATAATTAACCTCATTCTTACTCGTTTTCATCTTTCATGTGTGACACGCTCCATACCTTTGAGATTTTTACTGGCCAATTAGAAAAATAATACACATGCATGGAATAACACAGACTATGGTCACTGTAAGAGGGGCTGTCTTTGGAAGGCTTCTGATAGGAAGGTAAACTTAGAAGGTGGTTAGGATGGAGGCAATTGAGGGTTGAGAAGGAGATAAAGACTAGAGATGGGTTGCTACCCAGGTAAGACGTTAGAAGGAAGGAGAGGAAACTCGCCATTCTCCGCCATTAAACTGTTTCCAGTTCCTGAGCCTTGGAGGAACTTGGAGCCTTGATTTGTTTACTCTTCTCAGCATCTCAGAAGTAAGTGCTTTCACAGGTTTTATAAGTTGAAGTATGCAGGATGGGGTGGGGCTGAGGTGAAGACCTCCTAGTGCCAAGTAGAGAAGAGATTGTTTGCCGTGCTCCTTGCTTTCCATTTTGTGAATCATCTCAAACGGTGAGTCTAGAAAAATGCACTCCCATTTTCTTGGAGGTTCCTAGAGAGCTGACAGTTTCCTGGACTACTTAATATCCAGTCTATAGTGGAAGTTCTTTCTGTCTGAGGACCTGTTTCTTTGGCTGACCTGTGTGTTAAGCAACAACAAAAAGAAATGTCATCCCTCTGTGTGTGTGTGTGTGCATATGCACCCCTGCCAGACACTGCGCTAGCCACAGTGACTGTAGATGGGACGTGAAGAATGCAGGCATCCGCCCTTATTTCCTCCAAAGGTTGGAGGGGCCGTTATATCTTGTCAAAGAACACGTGTATTTTTTATTTGCCAGGTCTATGGGTTAGTGAGCCATAAAGAGGGCCAGAGCACTTAAGTTCCCAGTCCTAGTTCATGGTCGACCCCTCATGGCTTTTTTGCCCTCTTCCCTGATCCATGGCCAGGCTAGCAGTTCTCACATCCCTGCTGTCATAGCAGGGGTGGCTTTTGAGCTATGAGAGATCATTTTTTATAGGGTTCCAATCCTAGTTGAGTGAAGTCGTTCTTCCTCCCTCGCTGCATTGAGACATGTGGTAATTGCTCAGAAATGTTCTCTCTGGTGTCTTTAGTGCTTACTCTGGTGTCTTATTGCTAACGGATGTTTCTGATTGCTTACTCTTGTGTCTTATTGCTTGCTGATATATCTTCTGGTTGACTATAAACTGTATCTAAATTGGACACCATAGCAGTTGAAGAAGAATTCTCTAAATTTGTTTTCTTTTTAGGGATATGTGTGTGTGTCTCCCTTCTCCTTGCTCTGTTTAACTGTCTTGTATGTGATTTTGATCCAAAATGGCTTGTCTTACCAAATTTATTACTCTAGGGCTTTTTTATTATGTGAAAATGAATGTCCCCCTAGAGAAATTGAGGTGGAAATGGACTTTAGGAAAGTAAAGACCTGGATTTGAACTGCATTTTTGAGCAATCTTTATTTTACTGAAGAAGAAGGTGAATCAAAGAAATGAAAAAAATAGGTTGGGAAAAAACCCCAAACCTACCTTTCAACCAATCATGATTTCTCCAGGTTTAAGCACTGATAGGATTTGTATATTTCCTTGTCAAGATTACTTATTTTGGGAATGATACTTGGGTTTTTTTTTTTTGAAAGACCAATTCTGCTTTTCTGTGGATTTGTGATCTTAAGTTCCAAAGTGGAGAGAATAGGTTGGGGCTGGTGGTTCTTGGCCATGTCCTGACATGGGGGAAAGGTAAAGAGCCACAGGTGTGTGATGTGCCAGTGCCTGCTTCTAGTCTTGTTTGGCCCTCTTGTCTTGTTCAAAGCCTGGCTGTTGAAGGTGTTTAGTAAGTACTGTCCACATGGGTTGGATCATGCTGGAGGGGAGACCATTTCACTTCTGCAAGGAATTCTTCCCTGTAGCTCTCCTTCTCCACTTACATGTACAAGGATTTGTTTAGAAGTGGCACTTGGCTTCTTGTTTTCCTTTTTTAGACATCAGTGGCAGACACCATCTAAGAAATACAACTCCGTGTTTCTTGACCGTGACTGATCTTCCCGTGGGTGACTTGGTGCTCTGGAGCCCTTATAGTATGTGATGGTTCCCACTCTAGGCTGTAATATTTGTGGGGAGTGGGGATATTGTGCAGCTCTCTGGTGAGGGGAGGGGAGGCAGGAGTGTGGGCACTTGTGTGTGCAAATTTATTCATTTATACCTTCAAGGGCCTGTTGTTGTCATTCAACATCAGCTGAATAACTAGCTAATGCTGACATTTGACTAGAAGACAGAACATCATGACCACATCCATCCCCTTGTGCTGTGATCACTTACAATTGCAAGGTGAATGAATTGGGAAACATTCGCAAAATCGAAAATGCAGGCACAGCCCAAGAGGATGCTTTCTGATACTGAGTCTACATTGAACATTAGGCAGCCCTACGTTTTCCAAATGTCAGTTTCAGCATGCAACATATTCTAGTATTTGGAGTTGAAGTGCGGTGTATTTGAACTGGGATGTTGTTCTCAAGAAAAGAACCATAATTGTTCTTCTTAGCATTCGAAAATTGAAAAGTGTTCCTGCTGACTTCCAGGGACTGCATTTGGAAGTACAGCTTGCCCCCTCTTGGTGCTGCTAATGGACCTTGAAATGAAGTCACACCTGGGCTGTTTCCTTGTTTGTGTCTGCGTGGCATCAGATATGCTGGCCTAGCACCTGGGGTGTCCCTGCCCCGCTCAGAAACGAGCACAGCGGATGGCTTTCCCAGGATCGGGTTTTAGCCTGTCAGTGACACTCCAGGTGCTGCCTGAGAGAAAGGAGAGAGAGGAGACTGCCTTTTAGTAATTAAAGAGAGATTTTTATTAATCTGAGCAAGAAACCAGTATGTTCCTTCTGTCTATCTGCCTGTCCTTTTCTGTGTCATTCTTTGCACAGGGGGCGGTGAGTATTTGGCTACTTGTCAGAAACAATCCCTTTAGTACGTCACAGAGAATGTATGTCTTTGTTGGTCTGGTTTTCACTTTGTGTGGTCAAGGGCAGTTTGACTTTTATCACAAGGAAGGAGGAAAAGGAAAAAAATACAGTTCAGGAGGAGTGGTGCTGACCTGTGTGCCTGGATATTTTTTTTTTTTTAAGCTTCTTATTTTGTATTAGGGTATAGCCTTGTGATAGTTTCAACAGTGAAGGGACTCAGCCATACATATACGTGTATCCATTCTCCCCCAAACTCCCCTCCCATCCCTGCTGCCACACAACATTGAGCAGAGTTCCATGTGCTTTACAGCAGGTCTTTGTTGGTAATCCATTTTAAATATAGCAATGTGTACATGTCCATCCAAACTCCCCAACTATCCTTTTCCACTCATCCTTCCCCCTGGCAACCCTAAGTTCATTCTCTAAGTTTGTGAGTCTCTCTCTGTTTTGTAAGTTCATTTGTATCATTTCTTTTTAAATTACACGTGTAAGGAATGTCGTAGGATATTTCTCCTTCTCTAACTTACTTCACTCAGTGTGAGATTCTCTAGGTCAGTCCACGTGGCTGCAAATGGCATTATTTCATTCTCTTTAATGGCTGGGTAGTATTCCCTTATATATATGCGCCACATCTTCTTTATCCGTTTCTCTGTCAGTGGACATTTACATTGCTTCCATTCCTGGCTCTTGTAAACTGTGCTGCAATGAACATGGGCTGCACGTATGCACCTTTCAGTTCATGTTTTTCTCTGGATACATGCCCAGGAGTGGGATTGCAAGGTCGTATGGTAGCTCTATTTTTAGTTTTTTAAGGAACCTCCATACTGTTTTCCATAGTGGCTGCACCAATTTACGTTCCCAATAGCAGTCTAGGAGGATTCCCTTCTCTCCACATGCTCTCCAGCATTTATTGTTTGTGGATTTTTTGATGATAGCTCTTCTGGCTGGTATGAAGTGATATCTCATTGTAGTTTTGATTTCTGTGTGCCTGGATATTAATATCATTGGTTCTCAACTACCTGTGGTTTCTCCCCCCAGGCAGTTTTGGTTGTCACAATGGAGAACATTGTGATGTCTAGTAGACAGAAGCCAGGGATGCTGCTGAACTGCCTGCGGTGCACAGGCTGGCCCACAGCAGAGAATTATTTAACCCCAAAAGTCAATTGTGTGGTAGTTCAGAAACCCTCATCTATAAGACATTTTGAAAACTGGTTTTCCCACTTATGATCAGTGGAGACAGATGTTTGAGACATTGAGGTTTCCTGATCACCAGCTGAAACCTTTAGTCTCCTTCCCCATTCCTACCAAGGCAGCTTGCAAGCCTCACCACTTTTAGCTTTGCAACTGGTCTTTGGAACCTTTAAGAGAAGTTATACACTCCCAGAAGACTGTTCTAGGATTCTGACCTTAAGAAGCCTCTTTCCTGGACCCAAACCATACAATTTTGGCAGTTTGCATTTTACTCCGGCTAATATAGAATGTAATTATTTCTCTTCATAAAAGAGCCACTAATTCAGAATAATGATGGCAAAGTGGTTGGAAAGAGTGGATTTAAATTACCAGGATGTTTTAGAAGAAATTCCATTTTATTAATTTTAAGTATATAATTATCTAGATATGAGCGAGTAAATTAACTAAGTTAAGGAAAACAAGAGAAGTCCCCAGAGATCTACTTCACAGCATGAAATACCCTCCAGACCTTAACTGGAGCAATATAAAAGAAGATGAGACAGGAAAGGTAGGTTGGGGGATCTGTGAAGAGTTTTTAATGTAGTACTAAGGAATTTCTATCTTGTTCTGTATGCAGTGACAGCTGATGAAGGTTTAAAGCAGGCAGATGATTAGACGAGGTCTGTATTTTCAGAGAAAAATGTGGATGCAGAATGCTTTCAAAGGGGGTCATAGAGAAGCCAGGTGAAAGTTTAGTTGACTTGTGTAGAAGGATTGAAAGAGAGGTGTGTGAGGCTAGGGAGAAGGAGAGGATTTGAGACCCACATCGGGTGGAGCTCAGCTGTCGGGGTTGCTGGTGGACCGTGGGAAGGGGCGAGGGAGGAGGCGTCATAACGATTCTCAAGGATGGAGCTTGCATGATGGAACACTGGGGTGGTGTATTTATGAGGGAAACAAGCCAGCAAAGGCAAGATTTGGGAAAGACAGTTGCCATGTGTTAATGTGGACTTTGGAGTATAAATTGCTTTGCTGCAAGCCATTTGTTTACAAATACCAGTTTAAAGGAAGTTGGAGCATTAGTTCTCAGGAGATGAGGGACAGTGAAAGGCAGTGTTTGTTCCATGCTACCCAGGCTCAAACCCTGCTCTGCTTCGTGACATTGGGTCTGTTTCTTAATGTTTCTTTTCATTTATTTATTTGGCTATGTCGGGTCTCAGTTGTGGCACGTGGAATCCTCACTGCGGCACATGGGAGTCTTGTGTTGTGGCACGTGGGCATCTCTAGTTGTGTGCAGGCTCAGTGGTTGCGGGACACAGGCTTAGCTGCCCCGCAGCATATAGGATCTTAGTTCCCCAACTTGGGATGGAACCTGAGTCTCTTGCATTGAAAGGTGGATTCTTAACCCCTTGACCACCAGGGAGTCTCTCTCAATCTGTCAAGGCTTGCATTTCCTCTTCTATAAAATCGGGAAGATAATAATAGTGCCCATTTCATGGGGAGTTGCTTATGAGGGTTAAATGAGATCAGTAAGCTACACAGAAATATACCTGCTGCAAAGTCAGCACTAAATAAACATTGTTAGTTACAGTTTAAAGGCTACACATTTGGAATATTGATATAAGAATGAAGACTGGATTATTAGTTATTAGTTCTTAATTCTTATATGTAATATAATACTGACTAGTTGTTATTATCACCACAGTGAAACTAAAAACTGATATTTGTATACTGTTTTATGGATTAGAAAATATTTTCATACATGTATATTATTTCCTTGAGTACTTTAAAACTTGAAGTTCCCCAGTTGATGTTTTTATCAGGTCTTAGAGACTTTTTTTATCAATACTGAGAGGAAATCCACGTGTTTATCAGTAATCAAACAATTGGGGGCCCACGTGGTTGGAGGGTTTGGAAGATGAGGCCGAGATCACCCTGCTGGGTGCAGGCAGACACGGGAACCATCTCCAGGAACCTCAGCAGTTCTGCTGTCAGCATGGGTGTCACTCTTGGGCCACCCTCATAGGGTGGTGGCAGAAATGGTCGCCGGAGGCTCTAGGGTTCTGGCAATACTTTTGGGGAACAGCTTGGGTTGCAGTGTGTGCCTCTCCACGACCCCGTGGCAGTGTGCAGTAACCTCCTCATTGGCTGGACCTACATCACGTAGGTCACCCCGAGATTTCATGATGGGAGAGTGTCCCTAAAAAGATTCCAAGCAGATAGAACATAGACAATGACCAGAGACTCCTCTCATGTTATGGTTTGGATTTCCAGAGCATCATAAGCCCAGCTCAGACTTCTCTTTCCAGCAAGGTTCAGAGGACAAGGCTTCTGGAATGCTAGCCTTTCTGCCCGCNCCCATTTTATTTTAAAGTCGTTATTGAATTGTTATAACATTGCTTCTGTTTTATGTTTTTGGGTTTGGGGCCGGGAGGCATGTGGGATCTTAGCTCCCTGACAGGGATCAAACCTTCGCCCCCTGCATTGGAAGGCGAAGTCTTAACCGCTGGATCGCCAGCGAAGTCTCCTGCCTCCAGTTTAAGTGCTGCTGTGCCTTAGTGTCTGTCCCAGCCCTTCTAGGAACTGGCCCAGCCTACAGCCTGCTGTTTGTGTGTGCCTGAAACGTTGTCTTATTTTTGTCCTCAGCCCAGATGCCCTCCATTTTTCTACCTTACCCTTATTTATCATATTTTTTCAAGACTCATCTGAAGCACTGTTTCCCATGAGATGGCTTCCTTGATATCCTTTGCTCTCAGGGATTTCTTTTTGCTTTATGTTCCCCCACGACTACTACGTGCATCCCTGGACGTTTCCACAGCCAGACTTCAAGCTCTTCAAAGGCATGGGCAAAATAGCCTGTATTTTTCCTTTCAACCCTATAAGCCTGGTATATTGCAGTGAGTGAAAGTTGCTCAGTCATGTCTGACTCTTTGCCACTCCATGGACTATACAGTCCATGGAATTCTCCAGGCCAAAATACTGGAGTGTGTAGCCTTTCCCTTCTCCAGGGGATCTTCCCAACCCAGGAATCGAACCCAGGTCTCCCACATTTCAGGGAGCCTGGTAAATAGCAGGTTCTCAATGAAGGTTTGTCCAACTGAATGCATGCCTCCCTATCCTGGCCACACACCCAGTCAGCCACAGTTCTGAGACTTTTAGTATGACACTGGTGTCCACACTGTCAGTTCTGAATCACTGTGTCTGCTGCCTTGGCAGTTTCCTAAATATTTTAGGAATTCCTGGAAGTACCTAGAAAGTTGACCGCTAAGTTGCTCAGAAGGAAAAATACTTTTGCTTTCCTGTGCTTTCTGGTAACTACGATTCCATAATAAGGTAATTTACTTTGTCATTTCTTCATGAGTAATTATAAAAATGTAGGTAGGATTAAAAAAGAATTCTCACCAGCTACACTGTATTGAAAGTGAAAAATACTAGTCTTTCAGTTGTGTCCGACTCATTGCAACCCCGTGGACTGTAACCTGCCAGGGTCCTCTGTCCATGGGATTCTCCAGGCAAGAACACTGGAGTGGGTAGCCATTCCCTTCTCCAGAAGATCTTCCCGACCCAGGGACCGAAATTGGGTCTCCAGCATTGCAGGTGGATTCTTTACTATCTGAGCCACCAGGGAAGCCTTATATTAGGGATTTCTCTGAATGAAGAGTTTTTGCAGAAGAGAGGTGGGGACCCACCAGTCTTAGTGCTTTTGGACTCATTACTGACCCTTCAAAGTGGCTTTTTCCATTTCAAAAAGTGAGAGTGAGTTTCCATTTCAAAAAGTGAGAGTGAGTATCCATTTGGGGGGATGCCATGCTTCCCCAGCTGTTTGAGGGAACGCATCAGGGGAAACAGCAGCCCTTAGGAGCGTGTATGGCAGTATTGGCCTTGGGAACTTGTGCAGGCTTTACTGTGTCTATGAAAATGCCTCCAGGGTGGTTCTGCGGATGGGAGATAGGACATGCCAAAATTAGATGTGTTTGTTTTAATCAGAAGGCGACAGATCCCACTTGCTCTAATTTGGCTTAATGAGGTATGTGTATACAGTTGTGCTATCAGCTTGCATATGGTATTGATTCAAAAGACGTTCCACAGCGACGGCCCCGCATATGCTTTACCCAAGATGTTCCCTTGTCTTTGCCGCCTCATCCTCTCTCTACCTGTTTAACACATTACTTCAATAGAAACCATCTAGAGCCTGAGATGTACAGACCTAGCAACATTTTGGAATGAAAGCTGTTTGGATGGAAGCAAGGGACTGTCTCTGTCTCCACGTGGCTGAAAAGGCTTTTTCTGTTCAGAGGCTTTTGTGGTTTTGAGGGATTTTCTTTTAAGCCGTGCCTTTGCTTTGCATATCCCTAGCTTCTAAAATTAGGCAGCCTCAATGAAAATCAGTTGCCAGTTCAGTTTTTCTGTCCTCGTTGGATCTCAGAAAAAGAAGAGATGGAGCCTCTGTGGTGAAGGGTTCTCAAGTTCTTGGCTGAGTTTAGAAATGAAGGGAAAAGATGTCCAGTTTGAAACGTGAAGAAGAGCATCTGAGTTGCCCCATGGTTCAACCTGCCGACCTCATTTCATGGCGGGTCTCCTTTTTCTGTCCCTCCTTGACCTGTAGGCATTGGGCATATCTCGTGAGCGTGATCACAGCCTCCCAAGTCCATTCATGCCAGACTGGGGTTCTGTTGCATTGACAGAGTCAGCAGAGGGGCCCCTGTCAAGTGTAGACAGAGTGTTTACAATGCATTTTGATGTGCTTTGTCTGAGGTGGCCAGCTACACTATCAACTCCTTTTTTTTAAAAAATATTTTTTAATATTTTTTAAATATTTTAATCTTTTAAATATTTTATTGAAATATAGTTGATTTGCGATCTTGTGTTAATTTCTGCTGCACAGAGAAGTGACTCAGTTGTACATATATATATATATATATATGTATATTCTTTTTTCATATTCTTTTCCATTATGGTTTACACGGACCTTGTTGTTTATCCATCCTGATGTATAATAGTTTGCCTCTGCTAATCCCGAACTCCCTAACTTCTCCTCACCCTTCTCCCCCTTGGGAACCACAAGTCTTGAACTGCTTTAAAGCTGTCTTGATGTCTCATCTTGGTGAACTTCCCAAGTCAGCATTTACGGTGGGGACTTTCCTCTCTGCTTGGGTGCAGCTGGAGATGGGCTCTTGAAACAGAGTCATTACGGACGAACCATGGTGAACAGCAAGTGAAGTCCTTGTGGGAGGCAGGATGATCAAACCGCAGTCATAGGATTCTGGTTCAGACCCTGAACCCTGACTGCTTGGGCTCACATCCCAGCTCTGCCCCATCCTAACCATGTGTCCTTGGAGAAACCCAGTCAATTTCCTTATCAGTAAAATGGGATTAGAGTACCTGGGCTGTGGTGCTGTTGTGAAGACTGTGAGTTACTCCTTGGAAAACACTGAAGGCCACACACAAAATAAGAACTCAGTAAGGTTTGGGCACTGGGACATGCATATCTTAAGGATGCAGATCAGGGTTGGACCTGTGGGTCAGGTGGGTAGAAGATGGTCAGTGCTTGATGAGTGTGTAAACTACCCA